ACATGATGCATATGAATGGTTACAATGCAAGACTGAGGATCAAAGAAAGCATCACCTGTCTGAAAAACTGGTGAGATAGTCAGAACTCCATCGTCTTCCTTATTTTAATCCAATCAAACATGTAATTGTGGACCCAATGCATTGCTTATTTCTAAAAATTGCAAAGTAGATTGTTATGCGTCTTTGGATAGATGGTGAAAAATTAACTTCTAATAGTCTTAAACTTATAGATAAAAGAGCAAACAAATTGCAAATTTCATCAAATATCGGGAGAATTCCTTATAAAATTGCTACAGGAGAAGGATTTTTTGGGTATACAGCAGACTAGTGGTGAATATTTATAATGATATATGCCACTACCATTACTTGGGACTTATTAACAGAGCCAAATCAGCATATTTTTGCAAACTTTGTCAGAGCATGTAGTCTGTTAGTTTGTAGAATATTAGATAAGGACTCACTTAACGAAGCTCATTAAAAATTATTAAATGTAGCAAAGTTAATAAAACACCATTATAGTCCTAAAAAAATCACACCCAATATTCATTTAAGTTTACATTTGTGTGAAAATTGTATGGATTATGGACCATTATATTCATTTTGGTGTTTTTCCTTTAAGTGAATAAATGGAATTTTAGGTAATATTGGACATTATTATAAATATCAATATAGTTTATATAACAATACTGATATTTATATAAAATACTGATATTTATATAACAATACTGATATTTATATTTTATAGGCTCATATAAGACTAGCCAAAGAAATATAGAACCAGAACTTTTAAGAATTATTCTCACAAATAATTGTTTAGATGAAATTGTATCACATGCTGAAAATGATAAAAGACTATCTGATTCTCTAACAATAATAAAAGGAAGAATATCAGGTGGTAGCATAGATATTTCAGATGAATTTGAATCACAAGATCTTCTTCAATTTTATAATTTAAGAAATATTATTGACCAGAGAGAAGCTTTTGGTTATGAATCATTTCCTGGTACATTTCTTGGTCCAAAATTGGAAAATTCTATATTAATTTTAATATCTTAGATCTTTTAGTTGTATTCTATAATAACACAGTAGAAGGTTTTCAATTTATCAAACCTGGACAAATATTAGGAATTGAACAAATATCTGTATTTCCCAATGTTATTTAATATGGATGGTTAAAATTGGGGTCTGAAATTTTTGGATCTACATTCTCAGCTCACCACATCAAATCCTCAAGAATTCTGGCAAGATTTGTTGCTACAGAGGATAAAACAGTAGATTCATATCCCAGTCAAGTTCAATTCTACTTTGATCACACTATTTACCTTCCTTCAGGCCCACAAACATATCATCTCATATTTGTAAGATGGTATGAACCTGCTGATGATTATGAAATAAGATTTCACATAAAAATTAAAGGTGATGGTGATTCTAGTTGTAATATAGAGTTGTGGAGTCAAGAATTCTGTGAGTTAAGCAGGGATTGCATAATTCCCATACATCTAATATATTTCCGGTTTATAGAAATATATATACTACCACTTCCAAAACATATATAACCATAATTCCATTATATAGAAAGTATAATTTATGAATACTGATATTTCAATTATATTTTTATTAACTTATTATATCCTTATCAGTTTATTATTTTTTTATATTAATATACATATTAAATATATTTATATATTTGGTATTAATCTTATATATTTAAATAAAGTTATTTT